TATAATGATTGCACATAACTGTAAGAAATATACAAAGTTTCTATTAAACTACAAACATGTTTTAGAGCAAGTTAGCTTACTAATAGTATTATTACAATATTACATGTGAGATACAAGCACTTAACTCTTATTATAATATGCTAAAATTATATTATAAGTTATTTGTAACAATAGTTGATTGATTATAATAGTCATAAAAGTAATGCATTGTACTTGTAAGTTAATTACAATACGTTTAGTAAGATAATATATGATTACATATATTAATATTGTACTTGTAAGTTAATTACAATACGTTTAGTAAGATAATATATGATTACATATATTAATATTGTTAACAATCACCCTGTTAGGCTTATAATATAATTTGGTTTTACTTTTTAAACTACAGTTGAAATTGTCTTATTGCATATTATGTTTATGCATATATTCAATAATACATTGCATTTGGCTTCGCCCTGACTTGGGGAAAGGAAAATATGCAAAATATTGAACATTGTATAATGCATCAAATTCTGTGAGAAAATTATGCAAAAAAGTGAGCAAATATAGATGTTTAGATGACTTTCTAAGGTGTGATTTGCATCCAAAGTTTGATGTACTTATAATAGCACTCTTCAATACATTCTATGTGTTTCTGATTGACAGTTTCAATACTTACAGTGGCTCCATGCTGCCACCTGACTGAGATAGCCAACACTCAAAATTTAAAAAATTAATTAGAAAAACATATATAATGACAGTCTGTAGGTACTGAAACCAGTTTGAACATTACTTATAGCTGCTGGAAAGTTGAAGCAGACAAGGAAAAGTTCTTACAGAAAAAAACCTGGTCCTATTACTAAGTCTGGATCAACATCTAAGAAAGTGAAGACTTCAGCTCAGGTAGTGTAGAGGAGAGTTTATTGCACCTGTACTGACTGGCTTAAGGTTCTGAACTTCTAAGATGAGCATTCAAATCTTTCTCAGGAAGAAATTGTTAAATACTTTAGTACTTGCTATTCTTGTGCTCTCTACTTTACCCAATCCTCTCTCTGTCAAAATATTGCTTGCTGTGAAGAGCTTGAAGCTTGTGCAAAACAAAATCCTACTGGTCTTTCAAGCAAGCAGTCTTGTATTGTTACAAACCCTGCTGTTGAGCAAGTATTAGTAATGTGGCAGCACTCTATAGAAGCTTGAAACGAGCTTGTAACTGGTGTAATACTTGTTGAGAAACACACTCGGTTTGAAGATGAATTCAATGTACTAGAAGAAGAGTGATTGACTAGCTACAGCTGGGTACAATCCTTTACACAAATGTAAGTCCTTTTAGATCTTATTCTTCACTGTGTCAATTGTATCTGAAGATTCGACCTCAAATATACTTACCTTATTTATATTTTTAGTTAGGGTATTAGAAGTATTTAGCAACACAGAGAGGCAGTGTCTGTTGATTAAGAAAAGGCTGTAGAGGAAAGGGCCTGGATTTCTGAGATCCTCAAGCAATACTGACCTGAGGACCAGTTCAATTTTGACAAAACCAGTCTCTTTACATAGTAAGTTCTTATCATCTTTTTTTCAAAATTGTAATTTGACTTTACAGTAGTGTACCACCAGATTGAGGACTTGCATCATGTCAGATGAGTGGGAGAAAGAATAGTTGGTTCAGAATCACTATTAGTCTATGTTGTAATGTAGACAGCTCAGAAAAAAGGAAGCCCTTTTTTATTGGCAAGTCTTGCATGCCTCAGTGTTTCAAGCCTCAACACCTGGAAGAAAGAGGATTTTATTACTGTGCTAATCAGTCTGCCTGGATGACAGTAGTACTCTTCCAAGAGTAAGTAGTTTTGTTTACAGCTTGCATGTTACTAACACAAATTTCTTGTGTCAACATGTAATGAACATTCCTTTCATTTCATTATTAGATATAGACTGATGTATTCTACAGATGGTTACAAACTTTTGATCTTGATATGAGGAGAGAAGGATGTCATGTTCTCCTTCTCCTTAATAACTTCTCAGCTCATAAGGTCCCATATCAGCCAACAAATATTTGGGTTGAGTTTTTTGCTCCTAACATAACATTGTTCATCCAGCCTCTTAATGCTGGGATCATTCACACTTTCAAAGCTCTGTACCAGCATGATTTTTGCTAGTGTACAGTTGATCTTGACAAGGCAGGCAAGATGGAAATCTATAAAATTAATCTTCTTAAAGCTATGCTCATGGCTAGAAACGTGTGGATTGAAGTCAAGCAACATACAATAGAGAACTGCTGGAAACATGCTAGTATTGACTAGTATGTCTTAAATTTTATTCTTCACTGTGTTGATAGTATCTTACAGCTTCCTCTTGAATCTTATTCTTGACTGTGCCAATTGTGTCTGTAGCATTCTACTCAATCTTATTCTTCACTGTGTTGATACTATCTAACAGCCCCCCTACACGAATTTTGTTCTTGACTGTGTCAATAGTGTCTACTGTATTCCTCTCAATCTTATTCTTCACTGTGTTAATACTATCTAATAGTATTATTAGAATCTTGTTCTTAACTGTGTCAATCATACATGGCTGGCTGTAGTCAAACTAAGGAAGATGTTATGATTCTAGATGGTCCTCCTCCTCCTCCTCTGTCTCCCAGTCTTCCAGTCAACAAATGTCTGGAGGCATGGAATATTCTTCAACAATATACTTAAGGCACCATTTTAACTGTCCCTAAGCTTGAGAAACATCTTCAGGACTGTCTTAGTAAGGATTATGATTAAGATGACTGGATTAGGACTATTTCTACTATTCTAGATACTGAGAATGATGCTAATACAGCTATCAAAGTTGTAGAGAACCTTGCTCCAACAGATAACAAGCCTCTTACTATTACACATTCTCTAGACAGAAACAGACACCCTGTTTTACACCAGCTTTACAAAACAGAACAAGACCTCCTTTCTTCTGTTGATGAGCTCCATCAGTATTGTCATATTAGTACTTGTCTAACATTGGAAGACTTACTCTACCCTGCTGAAGAAAAGAAAGAACATCCTGAGCTAGAATGGCTTAAGAACATTGACAAAAGAGAGATTGTTGAGGAGGTACAACAGTGTATAGATTAAGGGATGGATTTAGACAACCCTGACAGTGATTCAGACAGTGAGTGCAAAACTCCTGATGATGAGCCAGAAGAAAGAATTTCATTGTAAGACAGACAACAGTTATGTGTTTTACTTGAGAAGCTAACACTCAAGTATACAGATATTAGTACTGTATTTCATCTTACATCTACAATCTGTAAATTTTGTACTAAACTATTTCACAAAGAATTAAGTACTAGACAACAGGTTACTAAGTACTCTACATGATATGTGGGGTAGAATGCTGCCTACCAGTAACTAGTAATATACTGAAATTTCTTGTTTAACTTCTTATTTCTTGGACTTTATAGTAGTATATATGTCTACTATAATTTCTCTCATATTTGAAGTACATATTGTGTTTGCTACTCTGTCTACAGTACTCTAGAAGTCTTTACAATAAAAGAAAATTAATACGATCTAACCCTACTAAATATGGTAATTTATTCCCACGGATTCCGTGTTGCATATTTTTCTTATTGTATAACTGAATACTCTGCCCAGACATGATACAATAAGACAATTTTGACTGTATATATCAAAGTGTTTACATAATCGAATACTGAAGATTGAGAGCATATAATTACACACATGCTCTTGTCACTCCTTTCCCTCCTACCTCCACCATCTCCCCCAGGGCCCCAACCCTCTTCCCCTAACACTATGTTGTTACTCTTGTTCTCTCTAGCCCAGTCCTCTGCCTACAAGCATCCTCCAGCAGGCACTCTGCCTGTAATTACTTAGACAATAAACATTACTACATTTGTCTCTCTAATCTGCCACTATAATGCTTGTACTGAGCCTCAGATCCTGTAACAATACAACTGAGCTGGCTACACTGTCCTTCATTGTAAAGTGTAAGCAGCCAGTCCACTTCATAATAACTTGCACAATGGTTGCTCATCCCTCTCCTCCCAACTTTTTGTCTTCCTTCCATCCCTCCCACTCCTTGCTCTACTACTTGTGTTGCCTTTCCTTCATTGTCCTCCTTTGTTTACACTTGCCTTACTTTTTACATTCACATTTGCACATTAGCATTGTTCACCAATGCTAAACAACTTCTTCAATGTTTCCATACATTTGCATACTTCCTGCTCCATAGTGCAAGCAATGGTCAACAAGTGTGTGCTTGCAACAATGCCAACATACAACCACTCCCATAGTACAACCCTCTCTTTGACACTGTACATGCTCTCCTTCCCCACCCATTCTATACTTAACATCACTCTTGACAGGTCCACCCTACATGCATTTACATTTCCTTAGTGTAGCAGACAACACTATATTGAACAGAAGTAGTAGACCACCACTTACCCCTCCTGAGCAGAGTCTGTCCATACATTCCACTTCACCTTCTCTGTTTGAGCTGGTATGTCCCAGAGATACACCTTTGCAATCCACAACAATGACTCAGTTCACTACTCCTCCAATTGCATGTTACAGTCAGAATATGTAGTATACATGTACTGATACAGCTTTGTCTGCAGCCTGAATCAACTCATTCAACACTCTGGATCTCAACCTGCATACACTACTCACACTTGCTGCATACTGTCACAGGAGCCTCTTAATACCCTTACTTTCTGGTGGTCTGTCCAGATCTGGTCAAGGTGCAAGCCTAGCAATCAACACTTGCAAACTTCCTGCTTGAGTCCTGCCTAATAATGGTTTCTGTCTACCTACACTAGATAATTTCTAATTATTTTATTATGTATTTTGTAGTATTAGAATATTAACTCATTCTAATTACTTTTAATTTATTATAATGTGTGAAAATTAAACATATTTATCCAATTTACAGATGTAATAATAACATTACTACTTTTGCTACTGCACTTTTTTCTTTGAGTTCATCAGGTCTGGCCAGGCACACTACAAATGTAGGTCAGCTCAATGAAAGATGCTAGGTAATGCCCAAACAAACATTGTGTTGTCTATAATCACATCAGTAACAAATTGGTTTAACTTCATCACACTAGCAGACCTTTCAGTATAGTGACACAGCAAAATGTGCTGTGAACACATACATACCTTAATCCTTTTCTTTCTGCAAGTCAGACATCCTGTTTTACTCTGCAAGTACTTTGGGCATTTGTACTGCAACTGCTCAGCTCTTATTTGAGCAGGGGGAACTGTATACACAGTATCAGGGATCTGTACTTTGTGTGGGTCAGCTGGCAGTGTGTACTAGGGTGATAGGGGTGTAAGGTACAAGATAGGACTTGGAGGTATAATGAGCAGAAAAATCACACAGTACAGTGCAAGAGCTTACTAGGGCAGTGTAGAAGACATTGTGTTGTTGGCAGTATCAGAGAGAATGAGGATGCAAATAAAAGTTGAGGTTCCATTACTTTTCTTATTTGTTTTTCACAAATTTGCAATTAGGGGATTTATTTTTAATTTTTTCCATAACTGGAAAAAAAACAATGTATATTTTATTTATGTCCATCCTTTATTGTTTTGCCTCCCTCCATTCATTTCAGATTTATTTCTAAGCCCTTCAGCCTCATGTCTTTACTCTTCCCTCATTGTCTTGTTATTTAGTGTCAACTACAGTACACCTATGTTTTGTAATTGGGCATCAAGATTACAAAGGACAAATAGCTTATGTCAGCGTTGAAATGCCAGCAGCAGATACTTCACTGTCGACGTCCTGGAATCCACTTGAGACGAACTGCAGCTGGAATGGAATATAACTCGGGTGTCGGCTGGTCCATTCAGCATATCTTGATATCACCATGATTGCAGCATATCGCACCCGAGGGTAGTCTGCAAGCGAAGGCATTAAATCCGTGATTTTTAGAATGACACGGTCATCCGAAGGATCTATCTCGGCACCCATAGAACGCAAAGAGAACAGAGGTGCTTCAATCTCTTGCCATGACACTGGTCTCCCGGCGCATGCTTCCTCTAATGCCTGTGTTAAGGTGGTCAGGACCTCCGTAAGACAATTCTCGCTGCCCAAACGAAGCAGCAGTCCTTGAGAGTGTCTCCCATGACATGCCTGAAAGATCTGAAATCGTCCGCCTCCTGAGGTGCCATTTTACTAGGATCTTCAGGAAAGTAAAGGTGTCTAATCATGACACGCATCAACGACCTGTATGCATCGAGGAATAGTGGCGAAACGGAAGGCCGTTTTCCTATGCTCAATGCGTGCCGCATCCAGAACTGGAAAGTGATCGGAACGATGTCAAGGTCATGGTACGCGGAACATTCTCCAATTGCCTCGACGATAGGGAAGAAAGTGTCGGGATGTTAAAGAACTAGCATCCGATAGACTTCACCAGCTTCGCTATAGATTTTTGCAGGGCCTTCATTTTTTCCGGGTCA